AAAAAAAGAGAGAGAGAGCACTTTAAGTAAAGATAAAGATATATACCCATATGTGATCTTTCCCTGAGGTTCGGTTCCAGTAAGGATATTGCAACATGATGTGCTCGTAGGTCTTTTTATATAGCTCCAATGTTAAGGAACTTCGCATTCCACGGTGATCCTGTATTTCAGTAAAAACATACGTAAGATAATGTTTATTGACTATTGATAGATAATTTTCCGCAACATGCAATAAGTTACTATATGGAAAATGGCAAAACTTTACCTTCATGTTGAAGTGAGGAGCATCATCCGCGCGAGTTATGATACACGAATCGAGCACCGGGACAAAAAAATAATCTGCTTCATCACCATTTAATGTCCTGTGAGGGCTCGCTAATAAACTTTCATAGATAGCCATCTGTAGAAAAGGAAGCACTTAGGATTATTTGCAATTCGAGAAGACAACTGGATTTATTTGTTGTGAATTAGATTAAACCGCACGAGAGTTTCTCATAAATTATTCTATAAATCGTTGAATGTTATCAGATGAGTTGGTTAATATACCTGGGCGCCATATAGTAGATCGGTCCATATTGTAGCATTTCGGTCGTCATAAATTCTATTTACACACTCTAACTTGAAATGCCGTCCCTATAACCAGGAAAAAGAATATGTGATTAATTATATTTTTCCCACGAAGAAAAAAAAAGTTTAAATCAGGTTGTTGATTTGATATCTTTTACCTCCATAAGTTGGCTATTGAAATCAGGGGGCAAATCATAAACATAAATAAGAGGCCTTTTTTTATGAACTACAGCACTGAGATTGACCAGATTTTTTCTCGTGAGTTGTGCGCCTTCTGGAACATTAACATTTGCAGGTCGCAACCACTCGGGCCATTCTGTAATGGATGATAAAACAGAAGGAGTACTGCAATCTACTCCGTACCATCCGTTTTTACACTACAAAAAAAGTCACCATAAAAATCCATTAATGTGCAACAAAATGCAGAGTAATATGATATCTATTCATCCCACACAAATATATATCTATATCAATACTTCAAGGCAAATTTGAGAATCAAATACCTTATAACTATATAAATAAATACAAATACTTTCATCAAAACCACGAAATATAACAACGATGACCGAACAAACCTGACAAAAGCCACCTCGGCAAAATCCAAGGCCAGAGCACTGGTTTATGCAAACGCTTTGCACATTCACCTCACAAAACCGGCCCGAAAGCCCGTCATACTTGCAATCACACTCTTCCTTGAAAGCAACCTTCGAATCATAGGCTTCAGCTGGATCCACATTGCACCAACCTCGTTCACTACGATTTGTAGTGAAGATAGTCTGATCGGCCACAGTCCAATCAGTAATACTTGGGGCCCCGGGTTCAGAAGGTGGACTACAAAAAAATTGTAAGCTTCTAATTTGTAAATGAAGGGGATTGAGTTAAATTTACACATGAAGCTTTGCTTACTTTATCTTAAATCCACATGCCTCGGCAACAGGGCGATTTGGGTATTTTGTACCTTCTCCGCAAAAGCACATGGCTCGGGACGTATCACAGTGAGCAGAACAAATGGAAACGACCCAGGGGCCATAAGGTTCTTTTTCAGAACCAGGATAATTGCAGTTTAACTGCAGTTTTTCCAAACATCCGTCCCCTGTCTCCAAGCATACAAATTGACGCAGATTGAATTGTAATTCATTTTATAAATATAAAAAATAATAATAAGGTTTCATTTAAAAAGAAGATGATGTGAAACATAAAAAGGAAAAATCGGAAAAAAAAAAGAAAGAAAAAAATTCTTGGAGAATTCTTAGACTGCTTTGGTTTAGCAGCAGAAAAATTTCAAGTTACAAAAGCGAAATTAATTTCTTCTTCGGAAACTTATATTACTTTTTTCATCGGAGTTCGCTAACTATCACATCATTTTACTGTGCCACGCATCATAGACAATGTCACCTTCTTTTCATTCATAAGCTGACAGTAAAACTGAGACTATACTTAAAAACTAACTACTAAGTTCATCTGAAACTAATCTTGTACATGCTTATGGACAAGTCATATAACATAAACAGAGGCCGATAAGTCAAATAAGATCAAAGAAAGACTCACCACTGAATCCATGAAAACAGCGGCATCGACCCAACTCACGATTACAAACGCCTTGACCACTGCATTCATTTTTGCAGCTCTTGCCTCCAATATTCTGCTATCAGTTCACATTACTATCAGATAAATCTTCAAAATGAATAAAACAAAACAAACATCAACTCTTTCATGTGTAAAAAAACAAGCTGAGATTAAAAAAATATTTCACCAGTCAACCAAAATGTCATATATTATTAGAATTCGAGCACAAAAAGCAGCACCTCAACAATTTCAACAGCCGTGATATTTGCGCCACAGCCAGATAACCACCGCCCGATCTCAGCCTTCCATGGAGCACCATTGAAAGTCACAGCCTCGTGTAAGTCAGCCGGATAGCGAACATTTAAGTCAACCATCGGCCGAGTGTCTTCTTTAGAACTTTCATCGGTTCCTTCATTCGAACCAAGGCAAGAGCTTTGTGCCTGCCTGAGTCCAAAATAATCCAAAGGCGGCACGACTGGGTATACAAACAGATGAATAACAGATACCATAGCCAGAATTGATGCAACAGAAGCAACTAAGGACCATGAGCACTTCCATTTCTGGAAAGAGAACATGATCCCCAACAAACACCCAGTTCACAAAAATTGAATCTTTATCAAAATCTGACTTCAGAGAAACAAACCCTTTTGCCCTTCCTTCAAAATTTAACAGCCCAGCATAACTGCATAAGTACAATTTCATAAATATAAACATCAATGCAATGTGCCCAGGTCAATAAATTCTGAGATTAGAGAATGAATGACCTACCTGTACAAAGTCAACTAGAAAAACCAA